ACGCACGCACACATACACAAAAATCAAACAAACACAAAACCAAGAAAAACAAAAAACAAAAAACAAAAAACAAAAAACAAAAAACAAAACAAAACAAAACAAAACAAAACAAAACAAAACAAAACAAAACAAAACAAACAAACAAACAAACATATACACAAACAAACAGGGCCCGGTTGCATGAAAGTCCTTAAATAATTTGACTTAGGGTTATCCCTGAGGGGGAAAAAATCCCTGAGGTAAGGGATTTCTTTAGGAGAGTTGCAACAAACGTCTTAAAGGGATAGTTCACCCAAAAATGAAAACTCTGTCATTAATTACTCACCCTCATGTCGTTCCAAACCTGTAAGACCTTCGTAAGACCTTTTCTTTGCACTCAAAAAGTATTCTCGTAGCTTTGCAAAACTGACGTTGAGCCACTGATGTCACATGGACTGGTAAAAAATATCTTAATTTGTGTTCCGAAGATGAACGAATGTCTTACGGGTTTGGAACGACATGAGGGTGAGTAATTAATGACAGAATTTCATTTTGGGGTGAACTAACCCTTTAACTGTCACCCTTACCTAAGTGTTTATACTAAGCGCTTCACGGTAGTTTCTGGCAACATACGGCAATGGGCGCCGCAGTTACTATAGTTACTACATCTCACAATAAACACATCTATGACAATAAACAGAACATAATGAAATACAAACCTAACCAACTAAAACACAGACAAACATTAAATAAACATGAGTGCTGCCCGTTTCTGCGCTGCTTTGTGTACAGTCGTTACGGAGGAAACCGCTTTGTTTCTGCAGTGAAAGCGCCTCCTGCTGACCAATGACGGAAAATTTACCAAATGTGAAAAAATGTTTTGACGCTGCAAACACGCAGAGTTGTAAATGTGAACAGGTGGACCGACAAGATAATGCATTATAAAATCTAAACAATTAAGACAAATTATATTTATATAGTTATTTAATGTAATAATTGATTAATAATAAGTGTTTAAATTGATATCATAATTGATACAACTCGTCCATTTACTTAAAACTTTTTGTTTTGTGAAAACCTGTAAGTCATGCTTTTTACAGTTATTTTACAGTTTAATATGTTACCATAGTCATTGCCCTACTGCGCTCATATGATATTTTATTTGTGCACGTCTTAAAAAATGTCTTAAGTCATACATTTGAGTTTAAAAATCCTGCAGATACTGAGTTTAAGATGACTTAAGGGAGCTTGTTTGGTAAATAAATAAATGTATTAAGGTGAAATGGTTACTAAGGACTTTGTAGCAACACTTAAGGGAACACTTAAATAATTAAGGGGAATACTTAATGGCAGCCTTAAGTTTCCTTAAGTTGACCCTTAGGTTTTTTTTCAACCCAAGTCATAGTCATTGCCCTACTGCGCTCATATGATATTTTATTTGTGCACGTCTTAAAAAATGTCTTAAGTCATACATTTGAGTTTAAAAATCCTGCAGATACTGAGTTTAAGATGACTTAAGGGAGCTTGTTTGGTAAATAAATAAATGTATTAAGGTGAAATGGTTACTAAGGACTTTGTAGCAACACTTAAGGGAACACTTAAATAATTAAGGGGAATACTTAATGGCAGCCTTAAGTTTCCTTAAGTTGACCCTTAGGTTTTTTTTCTTGCAACCCAAGTTTCACTAAGGGCTCCCTTAACCTTATAACTAAGGGATTTCTTAGCATAAGGCCTTTTAATGCAACCAGGCCCAGATCTTTACTGTGGTTAGATTGTTTTTCATCTTTCACTTTTATTGTGGATTTTAGCCTCCAGTCGCTATGACTGACAGGAAATTAGCCCAGCAGAGGCACTTGGACAGTTTGGAGGGACAAGATGGAGGCTGTGTACCGAAGGACAGAAATTGATATACAGACCTGGATTAAAGTTTATGATAAAGGGGTTCAGGTGATGTAACATGAGCATGATGGTGATCTGAGGCCATCACAGATGGCGGTGCACATGTCCTTCTCTCTCAATGCGTCATTCTGACTCTGAGCCCCAATCTGGGGGACACACTGGAGAAATCATGCCTGAAATGAGTCTCTGATGCAGGGGTCGACAGGGGACAGACGCCCCAATGGACCCACTGAATATCATTTATAAAGTGTGTGTGTGTGCATTCCGTCTACTCCTCTGCTCCCCTTCACGTGCCAGTAAAGCGTTACGGCGGACAGATGGTCATCTTGTCATCTTTTATTTTTCTTAGCGGCGGGTGGCACATGCTGTGTGTCCCTGATGAGTGTGCTCTCATCAACTCTGCCTTCCTGTGGTCAGCCAGCTGTATCAGGGGGGACAACAGTCGGGCTGGACGGACGCTAAGCTTGAGAACCTCTAACAAACCGAAGGAAGATACAGAAATAAATAGAGGAAGGAGGAGTGGGGATCTTATCGGTAGATGAAGAGGGCACAGGAAGTGAGCGCTGTATGTTGAATAGGCTATCACTGTCAGGAAGGCCATGAATAATTTATCAAGAGATCAAGTCCTGTTTGAATTGAAAGTGCTGTGCTGTGCTTACAGAGTGTGAACCAGAGAACAGCTTAAAATGTTCTCTAGTTAGAGAGAGATGAATACTCAAAATCATACTGCTGAAGAAATTTGAGTTGAATTACTGAAATAAATGAACTTTTCCACGACATTCTAATTCATTGAGATGCACCTGTATTTGATATAAAAAAACAACACTGAATGTGTGTCTCTGTACTTACGAGATTAGAGTAGATGGGCAGGTCCTTATAAGGGTTAATAAGGAGAAGAATGTGTCCAATGTAGGTCTGAAAAGACAAAGACGAAAAAAGTTAACATGGTTTACATTTTTACCAGTTTTAGCCTCAACATGCCCACAGTCTAATGACAAACACTGGCTGAAATCAATCATTTAATTGTGTTTGGTTGGTGCTACACAGCTTTTGGGATTGAAGGGCACACCTTTCTACTTCAAACTACTGTTGAGTTTATCAGGTTGATAAAGTGACAACTTGTCAGGATGAACTAATCACTGTTTTTTTAGACTTGTAAGATTAATGGCATCAAATATTTGAAAGATAATAAAGAGATAAAGACTAAAGTTTTGTTTGAGGCACTTAGTATAGATATGGTCAATTATATTTATATCATATTTATATTATATTATATTTATAGTCTAGATATGCACAATTATATTTATATCAGCTGCATATTTTTTTATGAGTGACACTATCATTCAAAAATCTGAGGTTGGTAAGATTTCTTAATGTTCTTGGAAAAAAAGGGCTCATACTCATTAATTTGGTAAATAAATAAATACAGCAAACAGTAATAATATTGTGAAATATTATTACAATGTAAAACAACCGTTTATTATTTTAATATATATTTAAAATGTAATTTATTCCTGTGATGCAAATCTGAAGTTTCAGCCGCATTACGCCAGTCTTCAGTGTCACATGATCCTTCAGAAATCATTCTGATATGCTGATTTGATGCTTGAGAAACATTAGTTATAATTGTCAATTCATATTTTTCATACATTTTTATACACTTACAAATTACACTTTTTTCAGGATTCTTTGATAAATAGTAAGTTACGAGGAACAGCGTTTGTTTGAAATACAAACTTTTGCAACATTACAAAAACCATGTCACCCTTAAACACCACATAATATTTCCTCCTGCAGCTGCAGTACAATGGCTCTCATGAGTCCTGAGGGTATCAGTACAGGTCAACTGCTAATTTATCTCTCAAGTGGGTCAGCTGCGCCAGCCTTATTTCTTGCTCCTGGTCAGATTACTCTATTACAAGCCCTGTTATCACTGAGACGACAGCAATGCCTCCTGGGAATAGAGGACTAGGTTGCTGTTGCGTTATACTAGTGTTCTCTCAATCACAGCCTGAAGGTCAGTAACCTTTTAGTTTCAGTTTCACAAATCTTTCACAGCACATCTGATGAATACGGACATACTTGGACTCTTTCTCAGAGAACATGTTTTACCCATTTACTATGACAAGACTTTCAGTCTTGTGTGAGATCAGAGATCAGAGAGCACTCTTTAGAGGTACTAGTTCATATTAGAGAATATCTAGAGGTGAATGAACTAAATAACTAACATCATCAGACTGGACTTCCTATCTGCTGAGGGAAACATGGATCAATCCCCTCTTATAAAGTGCACGTCTGGCATCTCTCACTCTTTCCATCTCTCTTGAAACGATTAGTAACCATCACCATCTCTATCCATCATTGCCATAATGACAGACATCATTAGATCCCATTACAGTGTAACACAAAAGCCCCCATCTCTGCTCTCTCCCTCCATATCGGCCTCAGTAGGGAGACATCATTACGGCCCATTGTAAAGTGTGGGAATAGCAGCGGCCATTAAGCATAGATTTGGCTCCGGTCATGAACGAGCACAGTGTGTAGTCGACAGCCAGGCATTACTGCCCGCGTGCAGCCATAGACCGCAGGCCTGCTCAAACGATCCACGGTGAGGAGGGAGATGAATATAGAGATGGATTTATTCCTTTAATCGTACTCTCATTGATTCACAAGAAAAGACAACTCTCCTTTAGGACAGAATAACAGACATGCAAGAATGGATGCTTTTCTGAATTGTCCACGCTATGAATTGCTCTTTCAGTGTACAATAACATACTAAAGCACATGTAAAGTACTCGATTATAATTTTAAGTTAAGGGTTATTCAATATTGCATTTAAAGTTAATGTATTTTAAATGTTCTAAATTTGAAAATTCATTGCAAATGTGCAAATATTTAAATACATGACACGATTTTCAATAGAAATGACATTAAAAGCACATTTTAGTGAACTATAAATGCTTGTCTGTACATCCGGCAGTACACTATCAATTTCTATGACAATAGAATTATGAAATCACATGAAGTCCTACTAAAGTGGGTCAAAAGGACTTAAGTTCAATTTACTGAAGACTTCTGTGAAAGTTTGAATGATGACGCAAATAAATAGTTAAGAGTTACGAGTCGATTCAAATCAACAGATCGTTAGTCAGGCAAGCCATTGTTAGTCACTTATATGAAAATGTAAGCCCGTCATTAACTGATATTACTCACAAAATATGTTCAATTCTGGGAGTCAGAAGAAAGTAGACAATTGTCATATAGAACTTAACCACCAGTGTTTGGAGCAAGAAACCTTAGCTAACATTGTACTGTACATAGACTTTGGTGGAAAAAATAATAATAATAAAATGCTAAAATGTAGAATATGACCCTTTAAATATAAATAGCAGAAATGGCATTGACAGTATCCATGGTGGCAGAGATAGAATCAAGAATAATTGAGTTAGTACAGCTGTAGGATTATAGTAGCATCAAGGCATATAATAAATGTCAGCAGCCAAGATTTATAGTAGCAACAGCCATTGTGGTAATAGTAGCAGTAACGACAGCAGCCGTTAACAGCGAGTCAATGTAAGAATGTCTTTTCATCTCCCCAGGGCTGGCTCAAGTCTTTGGCCTGAATACAGTGAGACCTAGAGGGCTGCCATCCAAATACCAGTCTCTGGCCACGCTACAAACAGAGGCCTTGGCCACTCTCCAAGACCTCACGACAAGAGATCCAGCAGCAATGTGTGTGTGTGTCAAAGGCACACTGGACCGGATGGCTTGGTGAAAGACCACAGAGTGTATGATAGAGGCCAGAATCCGGACATCAGCTCCATCCGAGTGAGTTAAGACAGAGAATGAAAGGCTCTTCCTGAACAGGCTAGACTGAGGGTTGGGTTCCTAACTGTGTGTTTATTCTCGATTTGAGGCTTTAGGAAGTGAGATGGTTAATACATATCTCACTAACCAACTGCATGCTTCATTATAGCCCAATGATTGTATATGTGTTTTTGTATTTACGTACATATATCTGGTCGTTAGCAAACCGCTTCTGCATCTCGTAGAGCAGACTGCTGTCTGTGAGCTCACTGAGGGATGCCAGGTCATCATTAGGAGCAGGAGGCATTAGTTTCACCTGGAACACAAAAAACATTCCTTATTATTAAGGCTGCTCCGATCAGGATTTTTGGGGCCGGTCACCGATCATCTATCACAGGAAGCAGTATCTGCTGATAAGATCACCGAGATCACTATTTATAGTGATGCTCCAATCAGGATTTTTACAGATATTCATTCAGGTATGTAATTTAATGTATTTTTATTGCATTTATTTGAAATAGAAAATTGTGTAACATACTAAAGGTCTTTACTATCACGTTTGATCAATTTAATTCACCCTTGCTAAATAAAAGTATTCAGCAAGTATTCAGTATAAAAAATAAAAATCTAAACTTTTCAACAGTAGTGTAAATGCATTGTAAATGTTGTCTAATCAATCAAATAGACGTGAAATCTACTTTCTCCTTCTTAAAATACACACATACACTTAAGCTTACATAGCACTGCAGGCCTGAGAGTAAGGGAACTCATTTTCCTGTTTCTTCAGAGGTCAGGGGTCACTCTCAGGGTGAGTGGGGTCAGCGTGTGCAGTGGGATAGATTACTGAGGCTCTCTACTTCCAAACTATGACTGATTCTACTTGCTGCTCTCCAATAGCAGGCCAGGACTTTCTCAAATGCATTAATCCCAAACCTGCTGTGGTGAGACGGGATTTTAAGTGTATTAGATGTTACTCGTTTCTCTCTATTACCCGTTGGGAACAAGACAAATCACTCTGAATGTGCAAGATCAGTATAGAATGCAATTGCTTTGTGCTAGTGAATGTATAGGATTGGTTCAGTTTATAGATTCTTGTGCATATTTAAGCTATATTATAAAACCTAGCCTTCCAGGGTAGCATCCAACCTAAAATACTACCTATGATGCCTTACATGGCGTACTCTACATGTAAGCGTGTCACTGTGTTTTGGAACAAAGCTTGCATGATATACAGTATAATGCTTTGTTTCAGATGAATGACCAAAATGCACACTATATACTTTTGTATACATTCTTTAGAGGACAACTCTCCTCTGACCTGCTCCAGTTTTCCTGCAGCACTGGGATAGGATCCATCCAGCCCGTTATCAAGTGAAGGCTGCCGTGTCAGAGCTCCTCCTGAGTCCCTGAACATGGCCTCCTTCTCCAACAAACTGTCCCTCCTAGAGATGGGTAGAGCCATAGCAGCCCTGAAGGAAGTAAAAAATAAAAAATAAAAAGGAAATCAATATCAACAAAATCCATCTTTGCACTGCCATGGTGGCACAGAATCTGCATCTGAAGTGGAATTTAGGTGCATTCACACAGATCGTTTAATGCAGCTCAGAGGTGGCATAAATGCATTTACGCTGCAATTACAATGGCCTAAATAATACTATAAGAAAGCTTTAAAATGTTGAATATATAAATATTAAATGATTAAAAAATTTAATGGTACTTTAAATATGAAAATAAAAACACCATCATTGAATCATTCATTCAAACGATTCATTCATAATAGCCGATTCATTCAGGACCGAAGCAAGTAAATGAATTGATAAATGGGTCACTGAATCATTTACTCAACTGATTTGCTCAAAAACGCTGATTCATTCAGTAACAAAACAGAATGTGTGTTTCTCGGAGATGCACAATGTTTTGCTGTTGCTTATTAATGTTTTATTTAAAGAACTTTTGGTGACACTGCTGATATTATTAGGTAAAAAGAAAAAAAAACTTTAATATTGAATAACTATAACATGCTAAAATGTACAGTATATTTATTCATACTGGAGAATTATCTTGAATTTTGGGACATTTTTAGTCACTGGCGGCATTATCTCAAGCCCCTGTTAATTTCCAATCCTGATATAATTATATCATTTGACTATATACCTACTAGCCTGAGTAGTTTTTTTTTAGCCTGAATGTCAGTCTAAATTTGCTAATCACTAATCACTTCCTGCTGACATCTGAACTCTCTCAAATCTAGAGTGTTCAAGTCCATGGATTAGCAACACATTCTCTGAATCAGAAACTGTAACCACTGTCTGTAACCACTGTACATACAATTTCTTTACAGGCAGGCTGCTGTCCTGGTTGGCCTCTGTGCAGTGCTCTTCTGATTGTGGAGGCAGAGCCGAGGGGTCTGTCTGTCTCTGTACCCAGAATTCCTCTGCTCTCATCAGCATTTCTGCAATCTGCTCAGTAGCAGCCAAATCTGTAAAAACCAAAGTCATAGTGGGTCAGTGTAGAAATCATCTTACTGGAAGTCAAAAGTGATTTTTCAGTTGTAGCCGAAGGTTAAAAATAAACAAAGAAAAAGCTCAGTTTCATCATGATGCAAACCAACTAGAGATGAATTTGGTTTCAAAGAATCTTTTTTTGTTTTGTTTTAAGTAAGCATCTTCAACATATGAAGGAAGGAAGAACAGTGACTGAGCTATTCCTTCTCAAAAAGAACAGTTCTATCTCTACTAAATATTATTAGTGACTAAAGACAGCATTTATAATATCATTTTGAGCCATGATTTTCCCTGGGGTCCAATCGATTTACTCCCTCATTCCCTCTGTAGCTCAGCCCCTGCTGTTCCTCACATGGATGTGGCCATACTGAGATGGGCATTGAGCCCTGCTGCAGATTGATCCATCTGTGCTCTGATCGGGGGTCGGGGAGGAAGATAACCCGTCCCCCCATGATAGGAACCAGCCTTTTGTCTTTCTTACTGCAGGAAAGTGACACCCAAGAGAACGATCCTCCAATCACACACATTCTCTCTGAAAGTCAGATATATACACTGCTCTCTAAAGAGACTTTAAGTGAGAAGAAAGGATTTACTTTGGCACTGCGTTTCATCCCAGGTCATCCTTAAGATACTTGAAGCAAAATTGCATAAGATACTAAGACTAAGAATCTTGATTTATTTAAATTTTTTTCAAAACAAAACAACGGCATACTATTTGCTAATAAATATGTACAGTGGTGTATTTCATTTCACATGCAAACAGGGTTTTTAAATAGTAGCCCAAAAGGCTTATCAGTAAGAAAAGAGCTCATTTAATTGCTAATGTCAGAGAAAGACTGGAAAATGGTCATAAAAATGTTGTTAGACTGTTTTGTGCAAAAAACCTGGGACCTTAGGGGGGGAAATGTAAAAACCATTATAATTTAGTTTCACGTAACTATTTTCCATCCTATCTCTGACACTTACAGATGCTGTTTAAGTTATTGTACCAATATGTAAACGACCTCTCTAAATGATTAATTGCAAGAATGACTCTTGGCATGTAGAGTCTGCACTGTAGTTTATAAAATAAACTGTACAAAATATTAGTAATTTTTAGATTGGTCCGTAAACATACTACTAAATGCTAAAAACCTGCTAATTGGTTATTAGTAAGTTACCTTGCTGTATACAGTGAAACCACTGCATTACATGTAATTTTACTGTAAAAAAAAAACTGTCAAATTGATGGTTTTTGGAATGAAATACTATGAATTACCAGATAATTTATGGTGTAAAAACAGTGAAAGGACATTCTACATAAGACAATGGCCATGTTTTTTTTTTTTACAGTTCAGGTAACTTGGTATATCATTAAAAAATATATATGGTTGTGAGTTGTAAAATATACAGGCACCACTATGCCATCCCGTAATACAAAACATTGTCACTTTATTTTGTTAAGATGAATTTCTGGCAAACACAGCTTCCGGAATAACAGCCCTAGCAATGCCAAGATCATGGGTTTGATTCACTGGTTACTGACAAAAATGTATATGCTTTAAATGCAGTGAAAATCACTTTGAATAAAAGGGTCTACCAAATGTTTAAATGTACAGAAACAGTAAAATGTGGAATGAGTAAATGTCTACATATCAAAACTTATTCTACTTGGCGGTGACATAGACAGTGATATATTAATGACACAAAAACACAGCAAATCTTTTTTTTTTTTTTTTGAAAAGAGCAAAATCTTGTTTCTCAATATTTCCCTTTAAATCTCTTGGCTTCAATTAGCTGTGACAGCAGTTGTTATATTAACCATCCAAACGTAGTGGAAGCAGTTTCACAGACATCAGCACAGAAGCAAACAGAGAAAGAGAACTGAATGAATCTGCCCAGCTATGAAATATTCACATTCAACAGGAAGCTCTAGAGAGGAAGAACAGTCTAACACACTTAAACTCAGGGGCACAAATGTGTAACACATCCCTGACAAGTTTGGTTTCAGCTATATTCTGTGTGAAAGTCACAGAGATGTACTATGTATTCAGTAATATAAGGAATGCGAGCAGATTCTGCAGCCATTTGGTAGATGTAATATCCACTTGGGCTGGGCTGATATTAATAGTTAAGTCTTTCGATAATAGTTGATACACATCTCACCATTCATATTGTAGGGCAGTGGTTCTCAAACTTTTTACAGCGGCGTACCCCTGGGGCATTTAACATTCTTCTGCGTACCCCCCCCCCTCTCTTCCACTTAGACCACAGTTACACCTTTTCTAAGGACAATATTTGCCCCCTTAAATTGATTTACAGGTGCATTTTTTTTACCTTTATAGAGGCAAATATTTTCTATCCTTATTAATTGTATGTCATGTTTAATGTTATATTCTTAACATTCCATTACTTGTATTATTAATATAATAAATAAAGCAATAAATTATGGCAAATCGAAGTGATACTTGTAGATTTAAAAATAAAACCGCCAATAGGTGGCGGCAAGTCGCTGTCTTAATGAGCCAGGCGTCGTGTCATTCATTCAGTAACGAAGCAAAATGCTGTAGTTATGAATGCGTTATTAATCATTGACTTTCCGAATCGTTCAAAGCCGGAGATTTGTTCACTAACTAAACACCACTTGCTTTTAGACTCACACCAGATGATACGGATTTCGTTGGAACTATTATTATTTCGTTGCAAAATATAACAAACATGACAATATTCTGTTTAAAATGTAGGCTACATTTAAAATGTAAAATGTTCACTTAATATTACCTTTTTTGTTGAACTGTTGTAAAAAATGTAATGGCACATTTGCCATCGTTTGGATATTCAGGGAAATGTCTGATATGTCTGATATATTCAGGGAAATGATACAGAGTGTGTCTGTATCGAAGACAGTTTAAAATCGATCTCAGTCCGTGTCAATATTTGCTCTTCATGCTATTAGGTGAAGATCTACTTTAAAGATACATTGAAAAGCAGCGCGATTTGCTAAATCAGCATATTCAGCGGGCATCCTATATGCACGCTGCTTGTGTGGATGCAGTCAGTTTTGACCGCTAAAGATGATAATCGTTGCCTGGGTTGCGTACGTATATGTGGGGCGGAGCTATCAAAATAGGGGCAAGACCCGTAAGAATAATAGTAGTCCAAGGCACTCGAATCTTATTCAAACATTTTTTAAAAAGCCTTTATTTCATCATGGCTATAAGTTTTAAGAATAGGTGACAAGTGCACACCTACGCGTTGCGGCTATTTTGCCTTCGTCAGGGTGTGACATATAGGGGCAAGACCCTTTTGGGGTAGGGGCGTGTTTGTTTTGGTGATTTCAAATATCAACATTGGCTACCAGAAATCACTTACTCTGCCTTTAAATGAATGCCAAAACTCAGAATTTTGTTCGCGTACCCCGCTCCGTCATCTCACGTACACCCAGGGTATACGCGTACCCCAGTTTGAGAACCACTGTTGTAGGGTATCAGACCGAATCAGACAATTTAAGATTCAATCAAGAACATGGTTGAAACACGAGGAGCCGAATTCAACAGAAAGGCCCAAGACGACAGGATATTCGTAAATCAGATCCTAGCGCCAGCCAGTCTGAAGCAAGCCTAACCAACCAACTCTTTCACAGAACAGCTTGCAACATTAACACAAAAGAACAACCCATGATGTGTGATGATTGATGACATGTCGTCAAGAATCAATCAGAATCACACTTCAAGTGAGAGTGTATTTTCGGACCGTAGCTTCAGCCAGGGAGAGAATGTTGCTTTGACACAGCTAGTGTACGTTTAGTGCACTTGACTTATAAGAGTAACATTTCACTCTTAGGAAAAAATAAAAAATAAATAAAATAAAATACTGCACCATGGTACTTACTGGCACTTCAGAGATTGTCTTGTTACAGTATTACAATAGTTTCCGTTTTTTTTAAAAGCAAAACATTTATATATTTTTTCCATTTTTTTTTTTCTTTTATATACATTTTTTCTGTAACAGTATATTAAAAATGTTAAATGTATACTTTTATACTACCATTCAAAAGTTTGAGGCCAATGAGAATTTGTAATAATGTAAAAAATAGATAAATCACATATTGTATAAAGAAAATTCACCCCATATTAGGACCATTAAGAATTGTTTTTTGTATTTGTAACATTTGTAGCATATTTTGTCCTTAATTCTCATCGAAAAAAAAAATCATGATTGTAAAATGAATGTACAGTATTTACTGAACAGCCTTACATTCACTGTACTACAATATTTTTGACTAATACAGTAAAAATAAACTATATTGTAATGAAAGTCTGATAATCATCAAGAATGGTATTATTCTTATTCTTCTTATTGTTGTTGTTGTAACATTTAAAATAAATCCATGTAAACTGTAAAAAAAAAAAAAAAAAAAAAAAAAAAAGGTAAAAAGTTTTTTTTTTAGTTATTTTTTATTTTTATTTTTTATACTTTGTGGTGAAACATGACCAGTGTTTGTACCTGAGGGCTTGTCCTGGTTGCAGTTCAGGAGAGTAGGATCTGCTTTGTGCTTCAACAGCTGGCTCACAATGTGGCTCTGTAGGGACACAAACACACGCACACACATCTCCATGACTTGAGAGGAACTCAAAGAGAATACTAAAAATTATAGGTCACATCTTAAAGACGTCTGCATCCATCAGCTCTGAGTCTAAATCTACAACATCAGCTGCCAGATCAGTTCTGCTCCTGCCTCCAGTGCCAAACATTTGCCAAAACCTCACATTCACACCCTCAGCACTGTGTTCATTAGCTACAGCCTGCACACAGATATACAGCTATATTTATCTACATTTGTTTACTTTAATTCTGTTTAATTCTGTTACTGTGCCTCTGTTTGCTTTACGAACACATAGACAGGCACTATATCACAGTATTTCAGAGTCCAACACACTAGAGTTGTGCTGCAGGACTCTGTGTGACTGTGTGTGCATAGCATGCATGACGTGAAGGCATGGTTTTGATGTATTATGCAAGTATGTATGTGTATGTGTGTCCAAAAACAGCTTTAGGGAGTAGGGATGTAACGGTATGAAAATTTCTTATGATTATATTGACCAAAATTATCACGGTTCTCAGTATTATCACAGTATTGTTCAAATGTGCTGGAGATGTTCAAAAAGCACCAACACATAAATCACTTCACGTTTTATATTTAAAAATCAACAAACAACAAATAAAATTACTTTTTGTTTGCATAATCACCATAAAAAGGTAAACCTCACATTTCAGCCTTTAAATTAAGAAAAGAGTTAAGTCAAAATGATAATTGATTAATACATTATTATATGTATTTTATCTGCTCCATAAATAATTCTAAATGCTTATCTGAATTGTTTAAATGTGTAGAATCCACATAAGCTTGCTTTTCATCAACCGGTCAAAATGTACAGCAGGGCATGCAAATTCGGTCCGTTTTTGACCAGACAGAAACTGCACACAGGCTGAATGTTAATATAAGTCTCTGCAAATCCACTCGCTGACAGCAGGTGGCGCTTATGGAAAAGCTGTTTCCCGTAAACTCCGTGGACAAAGCAGTATTGCAAATAAGAACACTTCCTTTAGGTATTACATGGAGCGAAGATGAAAACAAAATGCCATTGAATCGCTTCTGAAGACAGTCAGAACCTTCAGAGGAACATTCATATAATAAATACATTCATATATTCATTTGTATAATTCCCTTAGCACTCTTTTAAAACCTCCCAGCTTTTCCGCCCTGTTTTCACTCAAAACGAAACTACTCTGCTGTGCTGTGCTGTGCTGTGCGCACGTGAGACTGTTACTTAAAACTGTGCTTTATGCTGGACAGTATTTATTTATCGTGAGGTGTTCAAATTGCGGTAATCTAATACGGTTTTAATGATAATTAAAATATGAAATGGTAATACTAACCGTCGGGAATTTTATCATGATTTATCGTCAAACCGGTAATCGTTACATCCCTACTAAATACAACAGAATAACTTGCCAGATGGCTGACTTCATTAGAAATGGCAATATTACAAGGTTAAAGCTGAAGTGTGTGATTTGTTTAATGTTGAATACGTATCTCAGCTTACAGACATACAGTGGTGTGTGCTGGTGTGTTTTGGATCATTGTCCTGCTGCAGAACCCAAGTTCTGCAGCAGGACAGAAAAGCTTGAAGATCAAGACAAACAGTCAATCAGACACATGCTTTGCCAGCTTTTATTTTGCCTGTTTCTCATAATATAATCAAAGGTGTTACTTCGACAAGAGTGTGTCACTGTCTCGCACTGCCTTTTAACAATCAAGGCTTTTGTTTAAAAAAAATCACCCACCACAGTGGCTGGTAAATATCGCATATTTACTTACCACTGAGTAAAAAAAAATAGTGTATTCCCACCGTTTACAATGCTCTCCACTGTTTACTGCATGTACTGTTCAGATAACGGTGTTTCCAGCTAACACTGTATGATGATGCTCAAACTGAAGCGATTGCAGCATGGCAGTTCTGCTTAGTCACACAACCATCTGCAGTGTTAATGACTGACTCAATGTGTCTGTCTGTGTGTGTGTGTGTGTGTGTGTGTGTGTGTGTGAGAGAGAGAGAGAGAGAGAGAGAGAGAGATTCTACCCTGCTGCAATTAATTATAGATGTGGGCAGAGAAAACATCTCTCTAAGTGTGTTTATTATTTGCGCGCGTGTGTGTGTGTGTGTGTGAGAGAGAGAGAGACTACAGATCAAACACTATTCCTTGCAATCTCAGACCACCCTCCACAAACAAATACTAATTAGATTTGGTATTTGGACATAATACTATTCTTTTTGGACAAGTGCCTTGGTAATATCACTGTACTCTCCAAAGTACCCTGGGAATACATAATGATATACTTTATCAAGATAGGAACTATAATGTCATATCTACCAGAGTCACAGTAATTTTTGTAACTGTCAGCAATATAGTAGAAGACAGCCTCACACTCGCTCTTGATTCTCTAGAGGTCCTATAGACCTTGACCACCGAAATGGTGCTGTCGTTGGTGCCAGGGCTCAGTCAATGGATTTGAAAAACTGACTTCAAAGTCAGAGGATACAGTAACTGACCGCTGTAATCTGCCCACCAAGATAACATGTCACAGATACAGTTTACAATAGAGTTTAAAATATTTTATTAATGTTTTATGGAGAGAAAAAAGTATCTTTGTTCAACAAGGCTGTGTTTATTTGATCAAAAATATTTTAAAAAGTAATATTGTAAAAATATTATTAAAAATGTCATTCATTCTGGTAATTATATTATTCCTGAATTTTCAGCATCATTACTCCAGTCTTCAGTGTCACATGACCCTTCAGAAATCATTCTAATATGTGACCCTGGACTCTTAAATGTAAATTTTTCGAAATTGAGATTTATACATCATCTGAAAGCTGGATAAATAAGCTTTCCATTGATGTATGGTTTGTTAGGATAGGACAATATTTGGCAGAGAATACCACTATTTGAATATCTGGAATCTGAGGGTGCAAAAAAAATCTAAATATTGAGAAAATCGCCTTTAAAGTTGTCCAAATTAAGTCCTTAGCAATGCATATTACTAATCAAAAATTAAGTTTTGATATATTTACAGTAGGACATTTGCAAAATATCTTCATGGAACATGATCTTTATTTAATATCCTAATGATGTTTGACATAAAAGAAAAATGTATAATTTTGACCCATGCAATGTATTTTTGGCTATTGCTACAAATATACCCCAGCGACTTAAGACTGGTTTTGTGGTCGTTGTCACATAAGATGATTTGCTGCTCAAGAAACACTGCTTATTATAGTTGTTAATATTTTTTGGGAAACTGTAAAAGCTTTTATTTATTTATCTTATTTTTTTTCCCCCTAGGACTTTCTGATGAATGGAAAGTTCAAAAGAACAACATTTATTTAAATTAGAAATATTTTGTACCATTATAAATGTCTTTACTGTTACTTTTGACACATTTTAATACATACTTGATAAAGAAAAAATGTCTTAATAAATAAATAAATAAAATTATCTAAATTGCATAACCCAAACTAGTGTATGTGTCTTAAGAACTTAGTTTAAGAACTGTTCCATACAGAGCCCCTAAATGGACATGGCGACGGGGTAAAAAAAAAAAAAAAAACATGGGAGGAAAAATTACATTTCAATGCCAACCCAGGCTCATTGGAAATACATGCTTGTGGTGACATTTCTGCAACACCGATATTACGTACCTTACTGCATGTTTTGCGGCAATTTCAAAGTGAAATGTCCAGTGAGTGGCACTTAAACGATCATTCAATATGTGACACGTTTTTATTACATTGATACAGGCACGTATTGCTGCGTTGCTTCAGGTACATATTGTGGCAGTTCAGAATTCAAATGTCCGGTGAGTGTCGCCAAAAGTTAATGTTCTATGGTGTTGGAAATACCCCCTACACCAAACCCAATCCTAAACTCACCCGATAGTGTTAAAGAATGCAAAAATTATATAAAAATGCATTCGCTGAAGTAATCATGCTATTTTAACTTCCTTCTACGTGGGTATTTAGTATTGATTTTCAAATGTTGCAGCATGTAAACATTGTTTTGAAGTCATAATACAATATTGTGCAATGAATTGTGTGAAATTAGGGTTTCCTAATCAAAACTCTAGCCCTGTAAATCATACTTTTTGTGGAAAGGAATAAAAGCTGTAGGAGTTTTACTGCCTCTTGTTTTAATTCCAACTGGAAACAGCAACGATTCGTACGTATCTCTCTTTTTAATTTTTCTATAACCATGTCCCCTTAGGGGCTCTGAAGTTGAGGCTCCAGCACCAGCATCATGTTAGTAGAAAATGGATAAGAAATGGAGAGAAAAACTAAACCATGCACTGGGCTGCAAATGTGCTAACAAAAACCTTAACCTCACAAAAGAAAGAGGGGAGGAAAAAGGAAAACAGAATGGTGTGTATGTAGGCAAGAGTATCCTGAGGGACAAAAAGAACACAGGAGAAGAAAGAAGGAATTCTATTCATCAGCAACCTGAAACATTGTCAAATATTTGACCATGTCAGCAGGTTCGTCCTTTCCTCTAGAAATCAATCTCCTCTAGCACAAGCGCTGTTATTCAACTCATATAAAACACATTAGTACTTCATATGATCCTCAAAGCTCGAGTGCATCTGGCAGAGATTTGGTAAGATCAATGCAATGCTGAAGTCGCATTAATCAAAAACAGGAAGGGAGGGTGAATTAATGAACTGTATTTGGTCTACGATAACTCTAATGTCAATACATTCCACTGACCGTGAACAGCAATCTGATAAAAGGGCTAAACACAAAAGCACAGGAAATATAGCACATTACACTCATGCAAATTAGCCAGAACATTTGTTGTGTCCAGGGGTCAGCAACCTTTTTGACACCAAGTGCAATAGAAATAAACAAACAATAAATAAATAAATGTAATTATTTTTATTGTATGCATGTGTTTATTTGTATAGCACATCAAATTAATATAATATGCATTTATTTATTCTACTAAAATAAATTAAAACATGCGTTTATTCGTATGACACTATGAATTAATGTAATATGTATTTTATTTATATCTTTAAAGACGGAATTACTGCAAGAGACAGCTTGGCATGTAAATCTTTTTTTTTTTTTTTTTTACTTTTTACTTTATTTAAATATTTTTAAGTTTATTTATAGATTTGTTTATTAATTTGTATAGCTCTACAAATTAAATGTAATTTGCATTTATTTTATGTTTATCTTTAATTAAAGGAAGAATTACTGCAAAAGACAGTTTGGCATGCAAATGCATTATATTAATTTGCAGTGCAAAACAAAATAAAATAACAGATGAAATTAAATTATCACTGAGAGAGGTTTGGCATGTAAATACATTCCTAAAATACCTGAAGAAAATACCATCAATCATGTGCCTAAAGTTGCAAAGCACTGGTTCAGTCCACATTTGACTGTGATTTCAAAAGTCAGTGTCCATCAGGAAATGATATGTACCTGCCCATATTTGGCAGCCAGATGTAAGGGTGTCCAGTAGTTGTTGTCAGACACCTGGACGTCTGCCCCGTTCTCCAGCAGCACAGACACCACCTCCTTATAACCACTGGCACTGGCGATGTGTAGCTGCAAACACAGACAAACACTTCACATGTGATGTTTCATTTGGCCAAAATCCTTCCCATTCAAATCACCATCTGTACACATTACTCAGACTGTGTCATATTTAGAGATCAGAACGGTTACACATTTTGAGATTCATGTATTTTCTCACCAGCGTGACCCCGTCATCATTCTGTTGATTGACACTGCCCCCGCTGCTGACCAGCTGCCTCACGTCAGACAACATGGTGGATGAGCGCTGGGTCTTCATCTGGTGCATAGAGCTCATGTCCACTCCTAATAAATGCACAGACAGGTATAGAACTGAGATGCAGATGACGGACACGCAGGAGTTCGGGACAGAAGTCACATGACAGAGCTTTTATTCGTCAGTGTATGGGATCAGATGGGATGGGATCTCTCTCGGTGTCCTAATTTTGTGTCAACTGGAGGATATATTCTTCAGTTTCACATGTCAAACAGTGCTCTATTAGACAAAGCATAAGATCAGCAGTAGCAGAAGACGTGGAGTAGGCCGTCCTGAGATAGTGAGAGTCTTGACTGTAATGATAAACGAACTCTGTGACAGCAGCCCAGAGAAGCGTGTCCGTTTCTCTGGATCTCGCCGATTGATTAGCAGGCTAAAGTAACTCTTACTGTATCCGGCATGTGAGCTGACAGAATGGATGACTGTTAACAACACGGTTGAACAGTATGACTGTATATGCAGTTCAGTCAGTAGAAATATATCTGTGTGGTTATCAGATGGCAGAACTGCTTTGTTATTTACACATGTGAGCAATGGGAAACATGGTGTCACACAAAAATCTATACCAGAAAGTGTCCTACACAAGACGAGATGAAAAAGAACTGCTGCAGTTTCAGTCAACACAGAGCAAAAATGTCCTACCATCTAATGAAGCATTTGAGAATTTAATGATTTAATTTAAATTTTTTATTTTTATTTTAACTCTTTAATTTTTTGATTCTCTGGAAACAGTGTATGCAATTTGAATCTGAAACAAACAGAAATAAATGAAATAAAAAACGTAAATACAGGTAAATATAGGTGAAAATACACTAATGATCACAAGTATGGGGTCGATTGATTGATTGATTGATTAAAATTAATACTTTTAAGCAAGGATGCATTAAATTGATCAAAAGTGACAGTAAAGATATTTATAATGTTACAAAATATTTCTATTTCACAAATTATTTTCTTCTGAACTTCAAAAAATTCTGAAAAAAATGCATAAAAATATTAAGCAGCATAAATGTTATCAACATTGATAATATTTCATGAGCAGCAAACATTTTTTAGGATGATTGCTGAAGGATCATGTGGCACTGAAGACTGAAGTAATGATGCTGAAAACTCAGCTTTGCATCACATTATATTTTAAAATATATTCAAATAGAAAAGTTATTTTAAATCGTAATAATATTTCACAGTATTACATCTTACTGTATTTTTGATCAAATAAATGCAGCCCTGGTGAGCATAAAAGACTTCTTTAAAAAAAAAAACACACACATATATATATATATATATATATATA